TCAGTTAGTCCGAAAAGGAGCGTCTCCATTGGCAGGCTGCTTTTCCGGAAAACCCCTTTTTCCGGAAAAGAGTCTGTGGCCAATGTAGACGCGCTTTTCCGGAAAAGAGCCCTGATCGCCATTTTCGCGATCAGGGCTTTTTTCCGGGAAAGACTACTGGGCTGTCTACACTGGCCCTTTTCCGGAACAGTGTTCCGGAATAAGGACTTATGCCCGAGCGGGAGCAGAATAGTTTTTCCGGAATAGCGGCTGATTTTGTACAGTAGAGCATCGTTGCTTTTCCAGAAATTCAAGGGCCAGTGTAGACAGCTCGCAGCTTATTCCGGAAAAGCGGCTGATTTTCCGGAATAAGTGGCCCAGTGTAGACACAGCCCAATTGAGGCCTAACCAGTGCAGAGTAGAGCAGAAGAATGACTTCTCGTGTATTGTTCACAAGACACCTGTTAATGCATCCCAGAATCATGTTTGCTTTTTTTGCAACAGCTTCACATTGTTGACTCACATTTAGCTTGTGGTCCACTATAACCTCTAGATCCCTTTCTGCCGTACTCCTTCCTAGACAGTCGCTTCCCATTCTGTATGTGTGAAACTCATTGTTCCTTCCTAAGTGGAGCACTTTGCATTTGTCTTTATTAAACTTCGTCCTGTTTACCTCAGACCATTTCTCCAATTTGTTCAAATCATTTTGAATTATGACCCTATCCTCCAAAACAGTCACAACCTCTCTCAGTTTGGTATCATCTGCAAACTTAATAAGCATATTTTCTATACCAATATCTAAATAGTTGATGAAGATATTGAACAGAGCCGGTCCCAAAACAGACCCCTGCGGAACCCCACTTGTTATACTTTACCAGAAGGATTGAAAACCATTAATAACTACTCTCTGAGTACGGTTATCCAGCCAGTTATGCACCCACCCTATAGTAGCCCCATCTAAGTTGTATTTGCCTAATTTATAGATAAAAATATCATGCGAGGCCGTATCAAATGCTTTACTAAAGTCTAGGTATACCACATCCACCGCTTCTCCCTTATCCACAAGACTTGTTATCCTAGCGAAGAAAACTATCAGATTGGTTTGACGTAATATGCTCTTTAAAAATCCATGTTGGCTATTTTTTATCACCTTACCACCTTCCAAGTGTTTGCAGATGATTTCCTTTATATTGGCTCCATTATCTTCCCTGGCATAGAAGTTAAACTAACTGGTCTGTAGTTTCCTGGGTTGTTCTTATTTCCCTTTTGGCCTTTTCCAGTCTTTTGCAATCTCTCCTGTCTCCCATGATTTTCCAAAGATGATAGCTGGAGGCTCAGCTAGATGGCTCCAATTCTAGGCTCTTCCACAGATGACTGCTGTGACCATGGGCTACTCTCTTAGGGTATGTCTACACTACAGTGTTATTTCAAAATATCTTATTTCGGAATAGCTTATTTCGAAATAGCGCGTCTACACACAAAATGCATTTCGAAATAGCTTTTTGCTCTTTTGAAATAGCACATTCACTCCGAGTGGATGCTGAATCTCATTTAAGGCCGGCTGGAACCAGGTCCGGCAGGGCATCAAGTCAGGAGTTACTTTGTGTGGCTGCTACCTGAGGCTCTCTGAGGCCTGTGCTTAAAGGGACCCCCGCTGGACAGCCAGTTCTCAGGTTTCCCTGCTTGCTTGCCTAACTCGATGAGGGACAGCAAAGCATTTTGTCTCTGCGAACTCTGGTTGCCCTCACTCAAGACACCACAGCACTCTGCAACATGGAGCCAGAGCTGCCCCTGGGCACTCTGGTGCTTCTCTTGGACATGTTGCTGTGAGCCTGGCTGCACTTTCTGCAGGCTGCCATCTGGGAGGTCCATCGGGGGGCTGTCAGAATCCAGGAGGCCCTACAGGAGAGCTTCCACCCTGAGGAAGAACCTCCCTGGTCTGCCCCACTGGGGGCTTGTGCCTCATTCCTCCCTCACGTCCTTCCACTTACCCCTCCCCCCCCGCCTCCTTTCCTGATGTCAAATAAAATACACGTATTTTCATGTACACAAACTCTCTTTATTTAACAAAACTGGGGGGTGGTGTGAAACTGGTGAGACTGGGGAAAGGAGGCAAGAGAGGAGAGAAGAAAGGGTGGGAGACTGGAGGGGAAAATCTGAGAGGAGGAAGCTGGAAGGGAGAAGCAAGGGGAAGAAGGGGGAGGGGAAGCTCAGGGCTCAGGGTTGGGGGTCTCGCTGGACCAACTTGATTTTCATGCTAACCTGCTCCTGGGTTCCCATGTGGCCTTTGGTGGCCAGGCTGGCAGCTGTCCTGCCATAGACGTCGGCGTTCCTCCGTCTAGTGCAGAGATCATGAACGTTGGGGGCATCCCCCCAAACCTGAATAAGGTCCATGATCTCTACCCTGGACCAGGAAGGACTGACTCTCAGCCTGGGACACTTAAAACAAAAGCCCCTTTGGGGGGGGCACATTAGCTCTGTATTTTGCAAAGCCCGCACCCTGCTGCCCTCTGGCCCCATCCTCTTGCTACCCGCAGGAGGCCCTCCCCTCAGGCCTGCCTCACCCCCTGTCTCATGCCTTCCCCTGAGGTCCTGTCCCCTGCTCCCCCAACTTCCCCTGAGGCCCTAGTCCCAGGCCAGGCTGGAGCCGGGCTTTTGTGTAGTGGGTGGTTGTAGATATCCATCTTGTTGTTATAGTAACTGAGTTAGGTCACTAGGGGTCATCCCAGCCGGTTTGGGCTGGTTCTAGTGAGTTCTGTGTTATGGAACAAATGGACACTTGCAACTGCTCAGGCTCTCTGTGTTCCATGGGTTTCTTTCTAAATGCTGGAACTGCAAATGATGTAACAACTACCTCGGGAGCCCAGGCTGCTGTGGGGAGAATCAGACTCTGCAATCTCCCTAAGGGGACTGGGGCTCCTCACAGTGACTTTGCCTCCTAGGGCAGCTCTTACCATGGCCCAGCCCTGGCATCAGGCCTGGAGCGGGGGCAGAGCCTCAGGTAAACAGGAAGGGGGAAGAAGCTTGGGGGAGAGATACAGCAGAGGGAGGTACCTCAGGATAAGAGGAGGAGCAGGTGTGGAGTGAGTATGGGGACGTGGCACCTGCCTGTGTTCTGCTTTTGCCTTTTGGCAGGGGTCACCCTGCACTGAATGATTTGTGCTGGGTGAGGAGCTAGACATGCCACTGTGGGGAGCTGAGGCCCTTTTCCACCCCTTGCCTGGGGCAGCACAAAGAGGCGGGGCTAGAGTCTCTTCCCAGGACTCCTGTGTGTCAGACCATCCCTCACACACAGCTCTGCCCTGCCCTGGTGGGGAAAAGGCTCCGTGGGGAATGGAGGCTGCCTGGACAGTTTCTCCTGCGGCTAAATCATGTCTCCAGCATGACTGAGTCACAAGCACCTGGCTGAGGACATAGGGGCAGGATGTGTGTCTGTGCCCCGTGAACTGCCTCTATTCATATCAGATGCAGCCCCCTGGATCACGCAGCATCCAACGTGCTCAGGAAGGACCAGGACTGGGACTGCAGAAAAGCTCTGCAGCTATTTTCATTGCCCATGGAAGTTTCATCAGAGAAAGGACAGTGACAGGCCAGGTGTCACGAGTATCCCCAAAACTTGTCTTTATTGATGGTATCAATAGGAATTCTGAGATAGAAAAGTCACTCATGCAAGTCTTCATGGAACAACATCCTACCAGTGCCCTAGTTCTCCACAAACACAGGAGAGTAGACGTGAGGGCCTCATCTCATCTTGGAAATAGGGTTCCAGGATAGAATAAGTAGTCACATCCTGTGGATTTTGCCTCCTTTGTCACCACAACCAGAGCCTGGTGGTGCACGGACCCTTCACTTGACAAATAGCCTGATTAACCTTGCACGGAGGTGTGTGCTTTTCACGCTGTACACCACTGGGTTCATCAAGGGCGGGACCAGCAGGTAGATGTAGCCCATGATGATCTGAAGCAAGTGAGAAGAGCTGCTCCCAAATCTGTAGACCACAGACAAGCTTATCTCTAATGTGTAGAAGAGCAGGACAATGCAGAGGTGGGAGATGCAGGTTTTCAGGGCCTTGAAACTCTCTGCCCTGGAAGCAACACTTAGCACAGTTTTGAAGATCATCACATAAGAGAGGAAGATCAGGAGGGCATCCAACCCCATTGTTAAAAGTGAACCAGACAAGCCATAGACACTGTTGACTGTGATGTCTGAACAAGCCAAGTTCATGACCTCCTGGTGCAGGCAGTAGGAATGGGAGAGGACGTTGTCTCGACAGTAGCGGTACTGCTTAAGGAGAAGCGGGAGTGGGAGTATAAAAGCCACCCCTCTTAGCACACACGCCAGCCCCATCTTGGCTATTCTTGGAAGGGTTAGAATAGAAGCGTATCTGAGAGGGTTAGTGATAGCAACGAAGCGGTCAAAGGCCATCAACAGGAGCACAGAGGACTCAGTGCACTGAAGAAAGTGGATAAAGAACATCTGGGCCAAACAGGCATTGAGGCTGATCTCCCTGGAGTTAAACAAAAACATGCCTAGTATGGTCGGTACGGTGGCTATCGACAGACCAAGGTCTGTGAGGGCCAACATGGAAAGGAAAATGTACATGGGCTCATGGAGGCCTGAATCTGTTTTTATAATGAACAGAATGACTGAATTACCTAATATCAAAATAACATACAATACGCAGAAGGGGATAGAGATCCAGAGATAAACGTCTTCCTGGCCAGGTATCCCGGTGAGCAGGAACACGGCGTGTGTGAATGCGGTGTCATTGGCAGCTGCCATCATGTACTGGGCAAGTCCAATCAGCTTTTATTTTTCTTTCCTAGAATGAGAAATAACAAGAGAGTGGATGAAATTTAGAGAAACGCGATCCTGCTCTCCCTGCAAGTGTGGGAACAAACTCCCAAGCTCTTAAGGAAGAGCTCCAGAAATATGGGCTTGAATTTTCACTGACAGCAAGAGGCACTGCCAAGCTGGATCAGACCTCAGGCCACCTTGCTCAGTGACCAGAGGATGCTGCAGAGAAAGGTGAAAGAAGCCCTGCACTGGACAGCTATCAGACCACCTGTTCCCTGGGAAATTTTCTCCCTGACACCCACAAGTGAGAAATATTTTGTGGCATGAAGCAACAAGGAGTAGAGACCTTGTGGAGTTTTTTTGAATCTTTGCTACTACAATTACAGAGAACCATCCAGTCCCTCTTTGAAGCTTGTTAAGTGCTGGACCCCATGGATATCTTGTGGCCAGGGGTTCGATCGCTGATTGAGCACTGTGTCATGTTACAGCTGTGATGTAGCCACTGGCCTTCCACTTCTGATGGTGGCCAGGTATAGCAATACATGTTTCTAAACACGAGGCAGCTGCTGGCTGAAAACACTTAGGCTGCGTCTAGACTGGCATGATTTTCCGCAAATGCTTTTAACGGAGAAGATTAGGGATGTAGGCAAAAGGAAATGAAGCGGCGATTTAAATAATCACCACTTCATTTAAATTAAAATGGCTGCCGCGCTGTGCCGATCAGCTGTTTGGTGGCACAGCGCTGTAGTCTGGACACTCTGTGGTCGACATCAAAGGCATTTGTCGACCTCCCCGGTATGCTTTGTGGGATGAGGTTTACCGGGGAGGTCGACAAATGCCTTTGATGTCGACTGTGGAGCGTCAAATCGCCACTTCATTTCCCTTTGCCGAGTAAACAAGTCTACATGGCTCTGTAGACGGAGCCATGTAGTCTAGACATGCCCATGTATGTGTTAGAAACCAGGAAAGAATTACCAGAAAAGAGTCTCATACAATTGTTCACTGAACAAAGAGTTGCTAGCACAAACCTGCTGCAAACCATATTTGGGGTATATGTAAAATGCTTTCAAAAGCAAAAGCCATTATAAAGCAAAGTTCCCTGTGCTCCTTCCCGTGGAGAATCCAACAGCTCTGCTGATGGCTTTCAATATACAAGCATTTCATGAAAGATTATAATATTTATAATAGTTTATAATATTTGTAATAAAGTGAAAGGCTTTGGCACAACTTCTGCACATTGGTACCTTGGCACATACATATCAATTCATTCCTTTCCCTCTGTTCTCATTTCAGGGACAATTTCTCAGGTGAGAGTTGGATTTACAATGTAGATCTGAGAATAATTTATCTCCCTCCTCCTTGTAACACCTTTTCAGCTACTTCAAAGGTGTTAACATGTCCCCCTCTGAGTTTTCTCTTTTAAGGACTAAACAAACTCAGTTCATTCCCTCTTCCCTCAGAAGTCATGAGATTGCAACAGGTCAGCACTCAATCTGCCACTTGTTGGCAAAGAAACATCTAGCATCTTCTCTCGCCCTGGTTTAAGAGCTGATTGGTTCTGTTCTGTCCATCTGTAGCTTGAATCAAGAGTGGAAACTTAATGGGATGCTTGCTGTAGAGTCACATTGGTTAACTGTTGGGGTGTTGATATTCTGGCTGTGTTGGGTTACACTTGTCTGGCCTTTCTTAATTTTATGGCAGGCAATTGGAATACAAATAGGAAGAGAAGCAACTGGGGAAGAAAAGCCGTCACTAAGGGACACTGTGGCTGTGTCTAAACTACATGGCTCCATGGATGGAGCCATGTAGATGAGGGTTGTAGGCAAAGGGAAATGAAGCCGCGATTATTTAAATCACGGCTTCATTTCCCTTTGCCAAACAAACAAATCTACATGGCTCCGTCCATGGAGCCATGTAGTTTAGACGTACCCTGTGAGTTGACTTGGGAGCAACAACTCAGGAAGCCCCTATTGGCAGGCTCCGGACATATTCTGCAGATGTTTTGCCAGGGCAGCGAGCCTGGGGCAGCGGTGGTTGAGAAACGCTTCAGACTGACAAGCCCAGACAGGGCTGGGGAAGGCTGAAAGCCCTTGGCTTGCTTGGCTCCCTGTCAGAGAGGGACAGTCTGGGGGCAGAAGCATGTACAGACTGTGGTTGGAAAACCCTTTTATTCCCCCGTGTTAGTCCTGGGGCTCAGGTTAAACAGGATTCTGGCTCTAGAAGGCTGGCAGGTCCCTTGTCTCCACACTGCTCACCACAGGCTCTCAAATGGAGGAACCAGAGGTGCTGGACCCTTTTGGACGTGCTGGGAAGCCCAGTCGACCTTCAGGGCACTGTAGCCGAGGGCCTGGGCTGAGGGGGGATGGATTGTGCGATTCCAGCCCATGAACGAGCTGGCTAGGAGGCCTGACGTCAGGCACTTGCAGAGCAGAGAGGGGGAGCGATGCGGCAGCTGTCAGGGCATTGGCTGATTCATGGCCGATTGCTGTACTGCTTGAGCAACCCACCGGAAAGCTCGCTAATATGGGGGAGAGGTTCCCACGTTCCCCAGAGCTGCCTGCCCTCCAGTCCTGCCCCTGAGTCACCCCGACAGGCCAAAGAAGACATTTGCCATCGAAAAAAAATCAGCAAGTGCAAACGGCTCCCAGCCTTCTCCTTTCAGGGCTCCTTTTACGGACAGTGAAACCTGCCCACGTACCCAGTTCCTGCTAGAAGGGAGCCGCTGGCACCAGAGGTCTTCATCCTGAAGTGCAAGGAGTCATCGGAGAGGTTGCACGGGCAGCAGGCAGTGTGTGTTCAGATAGGGAGGCAACTGCCTTTATGCAGCATGTTTGTACCTTCCCTTGGGGCCACTTGGCCATCAGGGAACCTCAGCTGCTTGGCTTCATGTGCACCAGCTTTAACCCCGTCACAGCCAATGGCATAAGGCAGGAGGCCAAATCCCAGAGGATGGGGGATGATGCCAGCCCTGCTGCATGCCTTGTCGGCCCACATGGCTCCTTCAAGGGCAGCCGAGCCGTAACCTTGAGGCTGTCAGAGTTCTGATCTTGCTAATGTGAAATAAAATAACCCTCGGCTGCCCCCTTCCCTGTATTATAAACCCAGGGTGCATCCAGAAATGGAAGATTCCACAAGGCTCCGTACATGGGAATGTCTCCCACCTCGCTCTGTGCCTTTCTCCATGAGGAATGAGAAGCGGGACTCGGGATCCAGGGATTCCCAAAGTTAGGCAGAGATCTCAGTGACCCACTGGTAGGTAGGCCCAGCCACGCATAATCTCTGGGCATCCTCTACAATTGTAGAACTCTCTCCAGCTCCCTGCTAGGACAAGCCCATCAGAGATGTGCTACCAGGGCCTGTCACCGGTGCCAGCCCCTTGATGTCCTAAAGGTGGTTTATGCAGGATTCCTCAAGACTTTCACAGTCACTGCTTCCCAGGACTGAGTCCATCGTATGTTAAGGACAGCCTGCGTCTCCTGTTCCCAGATGCACCCCTTTACACTAAGCTGTATTAAAACACACATTGCTGAGGCACCAAAGGACTAAGGGAGTTGCTCAAGGTCACAGGGTAAGTCGGTGGCAGAGTCTAGAACTGAAGCCTTCTCTTCTGAGTCCCAGGCCAGCATGTTAACCCATGAACCCTCCTCCTGCTCTGGGGCTAGTGGCTGGGAGGGGGCAGCCAGCAGGCTGAGAGTAGAAGAAATTCCAGGAATTACACTGCTGTGGCATCACTACACAGGAGCCCAAGACTAATTCCTGTTCCAGTCGGTAATGCTGAGTCCTGCTTTCTCCTGGATCTGCTGAGGGACAAACCCATCGGCCAGGGCCCAAAGCAGGGTCATAGTGGGCAAGCAACTCCAATTGAGCTCCTGATATGAGGCAAAATTAAACCTCAATCAAATTAAACCACGGGGCTGATCCAAGCAACAGGCTATAGGTTCCCTGCCTCTGCTCTAAACTCAGCCCTGTCCTCCATTTGGGGGAATCTCACAGTTGTCCACTCTTCAAGCTGTGAACAGCACCCAACCTGCAATAAATGCTTAAATGAAGACTAAAGAGCTTCAAGTTAAGCAAGTTCAGGGAATATAGATTGGATAAATGCACTGTAAGATGGATAGAAAGCTGGCTATATTGTCCGGCACAATGGGTAGTGATCAACGGCTCAGTGTCAGGTTGGCGGTCGATTTCTAGTGGAGTGCCTCAAGGGTCAGTTCTAGGACTGATTTTGTTCAACATCTTTATTAATGACCTGCATGAGGGGATGGATTGCACCCTCAGCAAGTTCGCAGATGACACTAAGCTATGGGAAGAGGTAGGTATGCTCGAGGGCAGGGATAGGGTCCAGAGTGACCTAGACAGATTAGAGGATTGAGCTACAAGAAATCTGATGAGACTCTAATAGCAGAAAATCTGTCCAGTATACCAACTCATTCTGATAACATTCAACTGCACTTGGGATGGAAGAATCCCAGGCATTCTTACAGGCTGGGGGCCGAATGGCTAAGCAGCAGTTCTGCAGAAAAGGACCTGGGGATGACAGTGGATGAGAAGCTGGATATGAGTCAACAGTGTGCCCTTGTAGCCAAGAATGCTAATGACATATTGGGTTGCATTAGGAGGAGCATTGCCAGCAGATCTAGAGATGTCATTATTCCCCTTTATTGGGCTCTGGTGAGGCCACATCTGGAGTATTAAGGAGTTATGTAGCACCTTATAGACTAACAGATGTATAGGAGCATAAGCTTTCATCAGCAAAGACCCACTTTGTCATGCATCTGACGAAGTGGGTGTTTGCCCACGAAAGCTTATGCTCCTATACATCTATCAGTCTATATGGTGCTACAGGACTCCTTGTCGCTTTTGCAGATCGAGACTAACACGGCTACCCCTCTGATAGCTGGAGTATTGTGTCCAGTTCTTGGCCCCCCACTATAGAAAGGATTGGAGAGGGTCCAGCGGAGGGCAACCAAAATGATTAGGGGGCT